TAATAAATATAATATCAAATTAAACGGCTCTGATTAAACTTTATTGTAAGCAGAGATCACTTAGAAATATTATCTATGTTAAAGAGCGAAAAGACATGATTAATTTTTGACATGGTAAGGTGACAATTTTAATATGACAAAAGTTGTAGCGATTCTTTTTAACGAATACAACGATGTATAATATAACGAAATTATTTTACGAATTATAAGAGTTATTTTGGTTTAAAATTTTGCGGGCAGTTACTACTTTTTCAATTTCGGCCCTGCGATGTGGCCAACTTCCGACTCTCACACTCATACGCGCACGCGCGCGCGTATGTATGTGCATAAAATTCTAAATGTAAATATATATTATACATATATATATACAACATACATATATATACATATATATATATATTATATATATATATATAATAAATATATATTATACATATATATATTTAAATTTTCAACGTTGTTAAAAATTATTTATAACTTAATCCAGTACTTGTTTTATTAATTTAGCATAAATAATATTTAATCAAAATATTAAAAAATAATTAATAAATGTAGATCGCAAATGCATCTATTAAGGCCAGTGCAAATAATTTGATGAAATTAGAGACTTTGATAAAAAATCAAAAAATAGCAGATGAGAAACTGCAAAAGGAAATGAATAAACTTATGCTAAAGAAAATAAATCTACAAACAGATCTTGACAATGCAATTGTAGAAATAGATAAATTGGAAAAAGAACTTTTGGACAAAGAAAAACAGACAAGAATGATAAAGTCCGAACTTATCAGGTAAAGACACAATTAATATATTATAGAAGAATTAATAATTGCTTAGAAAAACAAAAACTTCTTACGCATTTAAATATTATAAATGTTTTAGAACAAAAGAAGACAGCGACAAATACAAATACGAGAAAGATCTGATAGACAAACGATTATTGAAAGCAGATTCCGAGAGATCTAGGCTGGAACGCGAATTGAAACAAACTTTAATTAATGTAAGAAATGCTGAACATGATGCTCAAACTTGTCGTAAGGAACAGCTCGAGGACAAGCAACGTATCGAAATTCTATTACGAGAGAAGAACACCATCGCTCGCAGCAAGGAGACCGCCTTCGAGCGAATCAAACGGTTAAATCACGAGCTCTTACTATGTAAAAGTGGCAAGAAAAAGATTGAACACGAACTAGACATGTTTACGCAAACTATCGAGGACATGAAAAAGCAAATGCAAGTTATAGAGAAAGAAAGGGATAGATATAGCTCGGCAGTGCAAGGATTAGAACAGCAGGTGAAATATAAAACATTTTTTTATTTAAAGCTGGAAATAATTAGAAAAATAAGAAAAAATTTTTAATTCTCAACTGTTAATTCTAAAATTTTATAAAAATATTTTTAAAAAAGGGTCTCAAATTATGAAAAACAAATTTTAAATAATATGTACATATGTTACATATCTTGTGCCTAATACAATGAAATATTATGCGATAAAAAGTACAATGGTGTACACTATATAAAGGATATCTGTAAATTGTAGGGACTTATTTCGGCAATGGATCTTAAAATAGAAAATTTATTGAGACAAATCGATTTGATTTTTTTATCTTTTGTAAAAATAAACAAATATAAATTGCTAAAACATATTACTTACTAATCTTATTATTATTTAAAAATAAGATCGAATATTGTATATATTGTATATTCATATAAATTCTTTTATTAAATTATTATTGTAATATTTTCTAAACTTATTTTCGAAGTTAGAATTTTATATATTAACATATATTATGTTGTGTATTATTTTCCTCCGTATTTTTCCTTCTTTTTATTTTATTTTCTAATAATTTACTAAAGTATTTGATATATATCTATAAAAGAAATAAATATTTGTTATAAATGTTATAAATAATTAAAAATTTATCAAAATTTAAAAAAGGTTAATTTTTGTTACTATTTTTTGTTTTCCCTTTAATCAAAGTACAATTTTGTCTAAAAAACTTTTTGATGATCAAAGAAAAAAATTGCTGTATACATGATTGCTGCAATTATGTAACTAATATGTAATTTATTAGATTACTTATTAGAAAGTAAAACTTCCATAATTATGTAGAGAAAAAAACCTTATAAATTTCAATCCAATATCGCAAAACATTCAGAAATTATTCAGGGGACCTGTTATAAGTGCCGCATCCTATAAATGGTATGACAATTTATACCAAATATTATTGAAATTGATTAAAAATATTTATTTAGAGAAATATGTAAAAGAGAAAGAGAGAGATAAGTTATTTTCTATTTTTTTATACTATCATTATTAAAATTCTTAAAAACTTTTCATTTTCCACAATTAATATAAATGCGACATTAGATATGGACTGATTTTTATTAATAATAGGTGTTTATATTTGTTTATTTTTAATGCTTTTATATTTGTTAATTAAAAAAATATATATACAAAATATAGTTAGATGTAAATAAATGATTGATTTGAAGTATATTGGCAGTTAGAGAATTGTATAAACGAGACTAAACGGAAGCAAGTGGAAATATTTGATTACAAGAAACGTTTGGCAGACGCCGAGACAAAGTATCGCCAACAACAAAGTCTATTCGAGGCTGTTCGAACAGAACGGAATTTGTGCAGCAGAAGTTTAGTAGAAACACAGGAGGAGGTACGAGATTTAAAGAGCAAACTGAATATTACAAACCAGCAGATTGAGCAATTGAAAGAAGACATTGCACTGAAAGAGGCTAATCTTGTAAAGGAAGAATTCTGTAAGTCATTTTAATTTAACGTATTGTTAAATTCAGTTAATGTATTTTAATTAACAACCAAAGTAGTATAATAGGGCTGGTTCTGGACCAAATGTAGGTCAAGGTCAAGGGAGGGGGGAATGTACAGGTCATGGTCAAGTGGAGAGGAAAGGATGTAGATCAAGGGGAAGGGTTAATTAATCGCTAATTAATTAATCAGTTAAATGATAAATAATTAATCTATTAAACGGTATTTAAATAATTAGTAATTTCAATTTCTCGCAAATGTGTTACTTTACTCAATCTAAAGATCTAATTTAAAGAAAAAATTTTTTATGTAGAAAACACTTGGCACTGCTAAAACAAATAAAGAAGACAATGAAAATAATATCTACTTACCTGCTCACGAGCGCTGTACCATTGAGTAGCGGGCACCCTGCAGGGCACCACTTCAACATTGAAGCAAAAAGGGTCATTTTTGTTTCAATGTTAAATAACTCGGTGAAAAAAAATCATACAACGCTCAACAAAAAAGCAAATTAAAAAGAAATATTCATTCTTTCCAAAGCTGTACACCGTATTTGTGTGCGATTTTCATTTCGCGCTTTTGAAACTTTGCAAAGTTAGAAAAAATTTTTCATACCTCCATTTGTATCAATGCGACTTCGAAATAAGTCAGTTAATCGTTTTCTATAATTTCAACTTGAAAAGTGGAGGTTTCAAGCTTTAAAATGCTTTTTAAAAAATCTCGATAATTTTTGACGAAGTTGCTCTATCTTGAAATGTGCCTATTTTTAGAGGATAGAACGACTTTAAACTTACTTTTGTCCGCCACTGTATATACAGAGTGTAACTTAAATAACGATCACTAATTACATAGCGCTATTCCTGATAAAAAAATTGAGTCAAAAAGTACTGAGCCTTTTTTTTCTACAATTCCTAATTATGCAGTTATTCCCCGAGTTAAACTAATCCAATCGGCGCCGTTCTTTAGACGGGCGCATATCAGTGAGCCGCGGGCGTAATAGTGTGCGTGAACATAGCGGCGACGAGATCATAGCGACGCGGCGCGCGGCGGATCACTGATGTGAAGTCCGTTTAAAAAACGGCGTCGATTGGATTAGTTTAACTTGGGAATGGCTGCTTAATTAAAAATTGCAGAAAAAAATGGCTCAGGACTTTTCGATTCAATTTTTGATCAGGAATAGTACTAAATATATGATTAGTAGTCGCTATTTAGGTTACACTGTATATTATGTACAATAATGGTTCGCCCGATTATAGTATTTACACACACACACACACGCACGCACGCACGCACACGCACAAGATTTTGATATGCCTTGTCAAAAAACAGAAAAGAAATTAATAGAAACTTGTAATGAATCTAGAAAATCATTTATTTTGCAGTATTGGGAAAGGTTGAGAAGGAGAAAGAGGAACTTAAAATAGATTTACGAACTTCTCGCGTGAAGATATCCAACTTGCGACAACAAATTGAAGACTTAAAGAAGAATGAAAAGAGCCTTAGGCAGGCCATACAACAGGCAGATCGAGAGATTGGACGTCGAAAGAAGGATATTGATAACGTTATGAATGAGCGTGACATACTTGGTACGCAATTGGTTCGAAGAAATGATGAACTTGGTCTTCAATATAGCAGAATAAAGGTTTGATTTTTACATCTTTTATAAAGAAATTGTTGTTGCTTTTGTCAAAATAAATAATTTTTTAATTTTATTACAAGTTTTTAAATTAGTTTTTTATTAATTTCTTTTCCTTTTTTTTTTAAATAACTTTAAAATTTAAATTTGCTATAGACAAATGAGAAAAAATAAAAAAGCTATGTTTGCAAAACTAGTCATTAGAAAGAATAACGAGAGAAGAATTGTCGAATGAGTACCAGTTGCTTAAATCGTACCATATTAATATTTTATATTCTTAACATAATCAATATTTAGTAACATAAATATAAAATACCAAATGGTAAATGAGAAATAAGTAATATGGACAAAAATTGCTTTGTACGTGCAAATAACACTTTCCAAAATCAGGTATAACTATTTTAATTTTTATTCAACTTATACAGCTAATAATAATGTAATCATGTAATTATACTTTGAATTTTATAATTTTATAAGAAAGGATTTATTATAAAATATTTTACTGTATGTTTATTGTATGTATTTGTTTGAATAAATATTAAAAAAAAAGTTAAATTAAATTATTATAAAATTTTTATCAAGTTTCTTAAATTATACTACTACAAAGTAAAATTGATAACTGTCAATAGTAAAAATATATTATAATATACAGGGTGATTCAGAACAACCGTCCAACGTCTTTACAAGGACACGGGGTTGTTCTGAATCACTCTGTATACAAAATATAATTAATTAAAACTACATATATAAATTAATAAAAATGCCATATGTAGTCTGAAGCAGATCTTGGTGTTCAGTAATATTATTTTTGTATGAATCTTACATATTTCCAGTTCATGGGCATACTGTGCATAATCGCATATTTGTCTTAATTGTTTTTTCATCATTTAATATTTGTTTATACGTCTGAAAAATAATATTCATTCCTATATGTATTGATTATTGCGATAAATATTATCATATGCCTTGGTCAAACGGTAAGATGTCCGTAGAGGAGGAAGATGCAGGTTCAAATCCTGATTAAAATAATATTTTTTGCAATAAGTATTCTATAAAAAAAATAATTATTAAGAAAAAGATGCTCATTACCATCAAAAATTATTAAATAGCTTGTCAATTTAATTGTTTATATATTATATAATACAGATTCAGTGTAAAACTGTGTTTCAAGACCGACGAATATGCGGTTTACAGTATGTTTAAACTGGATAAGATTCACAAAAATAATATTACTAACCAAGATCTGCTTCAAATTGCATATGGCATTTCTTTAATTTATGTAGAATTTTTGCAGTTTCGATTAGGTTTTCATATAATAATTAATTGATATAAATACAAAAGTGTAATTGCAAAAATAAGCCAGTATTATTTTAACATTTTTATCTTTTCATTATTGTTATTTATTGATTATAAAATACATAATCTTTTCTTTTGTTAAATTAAAATTAGTTAATTATTTAGTATTATTTGATTTCTTTTATTAATCCTTTTATTAATTTTATATTTTTAATTATTTTCATTCATAAATTCGACTTTCAAAGGAGGATTTAAAAGACCCAAAGATAAGATTTAAGCGATTGATTACCTAAATCATATCTTTTGTAGCATATTATAAAAAGACCAATTACAAATTAATTTGTTATTAATAAAAAGATAAACAGAATGATATGTGCTTGAAACATCAAGCTATAATTTCAGTATTTATTTACTTACAAATCAGTACTGAATAAAAAATAACTTAAATGATACATATTTAGCAACTCTTTACTGTTAAACTAAAAAGTTTGATACAGTCAAAATTTATTCCATTTGAACTAAAACTGTTAGCATTTCTCTTTTGAAATACATGTATATATTTGTAGGTTTTGAATAGAACGTTACAATGTGGAGAGATACAATACAATCAAAAATTGGAAGACGTTCGATTACTCAAGTTTGAAGTAAAAAAACTTAGAACTGAGAAAATGTTGCTTGCAAAAAATATTTTAAATGTTAGCGATTTACGCCAAGAAGTTTTTCATCTAAATCGCAATCTGACAAAAGAAAGGCTTAAAGTCACTGCACTTGAAGAGGAAATTCAAACTCCATTGAACATACATAGATGGCGAAAGCTCGAGGTAAGTTTATTTTTTAAAAACTGGAATTTAAGAAGTAATAATAAATAATACAAGGCCAAAAAATATACATCAATTTTTATGAATTTTTTTGACAAATGTAAAATTCTTATATCTTATATAAATAAGCTTTTAGGGACCAAAAATATATATTTTAAATAAACAAAAATATAATTATTAAAAAAATATCAGTAAACTAATGCGATACTTGCTGTAATTTGCTATTATTTGTTTGAGATCAAAATATAAAATTAATTTTTAAAGTACAAGAAAATCTCTTTTTTTAAGTGAATTTTAAAATACTAATTTTTTAGTTAAAATAACTACAACTATGTAATTAAGGGGGCATTCTAGTCTAGCGGATCGCAAAAATCGATTTTTCTTTTTTTACATATTTTGCAAGTATAATTTGATATGGAAAATATGTTTGCAAAAAGATTTAGCCCGATTCGCAAAATTAACAAAATTATAGGCCGGTATTCATAGTCGATTCTTATATTTAAGATCGTCTTAAATATAGTCTTAAGATGTCACAAGCTAATAATAGAGTCGTATTAGCATCTTAAAACATTACTTAAGACGGCCTTAAAATAAAAACCGACTTATGAATACCGGCCATAGCACTTGATAGAGAGCGGTTTCAATTTATGTAATCAGTACAAAA